GGGTCCTGTAATAGAGCAGTGATAGGTACAGTTATAGGGTGAGGGTCCTGTAATAGACCAGTGATAGGTACAGTTATAGGGTGAGGGGTCCTGTAATAGAGCAGTTAAAGGGTGAGGGGTCTGGTAATAGACCAGTGATAGGTACAGTTATAGGGTGAGGGGTCCTGTAATAGACCAGCGATAGGTACAGTTATAGGGTGAGGGTCCTGTAATAGAGCAGTGATAGGTACAGTCATAGGGTGAGGGGTCCTGTAATAGAGCAGCGATTGGTACAGTTATAGGGTGAGGGGTCCTGTAATAGACTAGTTATAGGGTGAGGGGTCCTGTAATAGACCAGTGATAGGTACAGTTATAGGGTGAGGGGTCCTGTAATAGACCAGCGATAGGTACAGTTATAGGGTGAGTGGTCCTGTAATAGACCAGTGATAGGTACAGTTATAGGGTGAGGGGTCCTGTAATAGAGCAGTGATAGGTACAGTTATAGGGTGAGGGGTCCTGTAATAGAGCAGCGATAGGTACAGTTATAGGGTGAGGGGTCCTGTAATAGAGCAGCGATAGGTACAGTTATAGGGTGAGGGGTCCTGTAATAGAGCAGTGATAGGTACAGTTATAGGGTGAGGGGTCCTGTAATAGACCAGCGATAGGTACAGTTATAGGGTGAGGGGTCCTGTAATAGACCAGTGATAGGTACAGTTATAGGGTGAGGGGTCCTGTAATAGAGCAGTGATAGGTACAGTTTTAGGGTGAGGGGTCCTGTATGAGAGCAGTGATAGGTACAGTTATAGGGTGAGGGGTCCTGTAATAGAGCAGTGATAGGTACAGTTATAGGGTGAGGGGTCCTGTAATAGACCAGTGATAGCTACAGTTATAGGGTGAGGGATCCTGTAATATAGCAGTGTTAGGTACAGGTATAGGGTGAGGGGTCCTGTAATAGACCAGTGATAGGTACAGTTATAGGGTGAGGGGTTCTGTAATAGAGCAGCGATAGGTACAGTTATAGGGTGAGGGGTCCTGTAATAGAGCAGTGATAGGTACAGTTATAGGG